GCCCGGGATGCCTGAAAGGCAACCGGATCCCTCCCACCCTGCCCCGCCGCCGGGATCTGTGCCGCGGAGGTGGCAGGCGAAGGGAAAGGGCCGGGAGCCTGTCTCCCCTTCTCCCGCTCCACCTCCTCCTCTTCCTCTGAGGAGGAGGCGGCGGGCGCTCAGCCCAGGGCCGGCGGCGAGCGGCGCTTTGGCTGGCTCACTCCTCCCGGGGCGGTGGGCGAAGGGAAAGGGCCGGGTGCCTGGCTCCCCGTCTCCCGCTTCACCTCCTCCTCTTCCTCCGGAGGCTCCTTCTGAAGCATCCGCCGGTCAGCTGGGGGAAAATGCCAGCTGATTGGTGGTTCCAAAATGGCCGCCCGCTATTTTCTGGACGGATTCCTCACTTACCGAGGCGGCGAAAATGGCCGCCCCTATGGAGGATCCTCGCTGAACGGTGAGTTTTTTCCCCATAGGAACGCATTAAACAGGGTTTAATGCGTTCCTATGGGGTTTTTCTTTCCATTTAGCGATGTTTCCGGATAGCAACGTTAATCCTGGAACGGATTAACGTCGCTATGCAGGGCACAACTGCACCACACTCTTGACAATTCTCCCCTCTTTTGTAGTCAAGTGAGTTGGGTGTGTCTGTGTTGTCTGTAGGTTTTACTCTGTTCCAATTTGGCAATCTTGACAAATTATTACTAAAAACATATGTTAATTGAGGAGCAGGGACATGGCTAGGTCTTCCTGTTTTGTAGAGCAGGGATGCTCCTAGGTCTTCCTGTTTTGTAGAGCAGGGATGTTCCCTTGTTGTTATGTGCTGTAAAGTTGTCTTGACTTATAGCAACCCTATGAATTGAGCTCTCTCCAAAATGTCCTGTTCTCATCTGCCCTGCTCCGCTTGTCTCCAAAATGTCCTGTCCTCAGCTGCCTTCTCCACTCTTGTAGACTCAAGTCTATGGGTTCCTTAAGGGAGTCAGTCCATCCTCATATTTCAAGTTCAAGCTCAGGTTTATTTAGGTTTAATAGTCCATGGGCCATACACCATATATTAAAACAGAAATTTGCCACATCTTCAACACAGTTTTTGCAAAGGCTGCTCAAGAATACTTTTAATCTTGTGGCATCCCAAAAGGCTGAATACTTCAGTAGCTATTTTTGGAGGAATCACTTTCTTACTGTTGCATATTTCAGGCAGTAAAATAAATTATGAGATGGTGTATCAAGTTCTATGAAAAAGGATCAGTCACAGTAACGTTGGTCCAGGGATACCTTGTGAAAGCATCCTCTCATCTGTGCCATTGGGAATGCATTGCAGTGCCTTAGCTTTGGAATTGTTAGTATGTGAAGATAAAGAGGTGGTTTAAATTGGGTAGGGCATTTAATTCCCAGGTGAAGTGGGGAGCATTTTGGCCTAGCATCCCCTTGGAGGTATTTTGGTCTGACCGGGAGGGGGGGTTGTACTTATGGTCACAGAGACTGAGGTAAAGCCTTTATCCAGTAAGGAATAAAAGGAAATGGAATATAAATGTGTTGTGTTTATGTGCCAACATACGATGGCCCCATGATTGAGCAATCTCCAGAGCATCCTGTCCTCAGCTGCCCTGCTCAGCTGTTGTCGATTTAAGCCCGTGGGTCCTTTAGGGAGTCAGTCCATCCCATATTCAGTCTTCCTCTTTCCCTGCTGCTTTTCCCAACATTATTGGGGGTTTTCCAAAGAATCCTTCCTTCTCATGATGTGCCCAAAGTAGGACAGCTTCAGTTTCAACACGTTTGCCTCCAGAGATAGTTCAGGCTTGATTTGATCTAAGACTCGCTAGTTTGTCTTTCTGGCAGTCCAGGGTATCCGTAAAGCTCTCATCCAGCCCCACATTTCAGATGGATGATTTTTTTTTTCCTGTCAGTTTTCTTAACTGTTGAACTTTCACAGCAGGAAAGTTATGTAATAACATATGTAAAACCATGACTGTTTTATTATTGTTTTCTTAATTAGACAGACAATGGTATGATCAATTTTAAAGAGCTTTTTGTTTAATATAGCCAGCTTTGAGAATCTACAACTTGCTTTGCAAATGTTGTATCTTCCACAGATGATCACTGGTTTTGATGCCAACATTTTGTATGCAGTAAGTGCTCTGAGTAAGGCAGATTAGTAAATGTCAAATAATGTAGAAAGGATCTGTGACTCACATGCAAAACCTTGTCTGTTGCAGCCGCAAGGTGTCCCTTGTGATAATTTTTTTTTCTCCTTTGCCCTCAATATGTGTAGGATGCTGACAGTGCCATGGACACTTTGTCTTGTGACTATGATGGCAACAGGTTAAAATCTGCCTTGTTCAGAAATCTGCCCCAGTCTGCCCATTGAGGATTAGTCTCTGCCCTTTAGCTCTACCAGTTGCTGCCAGACACCTGTCTGATACGCCCTGACTTGCCGGTGTTCTTGCCTTGTGCAGCCTTTGCCACTTGAAGAAGGTGCAAGTGGATCAGGAGACCTGGACAATTCTAACTATTCTGTAGTTTAGCTTTACCCCTTTGTCCCTACCTCCAGAAAATTATTTGCAATGGTGGGCAGTCGTGTGCATTCAGTTTTGTAGAATAAATTATAGGATTTTAAAGTAGCTAAATTAAAATATTTCGTTGTCTTGCCTTAACCCATGTTCATGATACTTACAGCACATGATACATATAATACTTAAGCACAAAAATGGCTCCTGGAAGTATATCCCATTTCTTTTGTGCACCAGATGCCAGTGAGCAGATCACAGCTATTTCTCATCTGCTGTTAAGTATTGACACATCATGAAATCGGTAGAAAAGACATAGGAAACGTGTGGCCTTCTAGATGTAGCTGGCCTGCAACTTCTGTCAGTCCTCATCACTGGTTGTACTGGTGAGGGCACATGTTCTGCTCCCCTGCAACAGCATGGCGGTATATATGTCCATTCCGAAAAGAATCAAATACATCTACCTGTAACTAACCTTATTCTATATTTTCACATTTATTTGCTTTCCTTTTAAATAGCTTCAGAGTTGTACGTGCCACACACAATTTCATGTGACCAGCTGTCTTCAGAAAATCTGAGTGCAGCGATTGGGCAGAAAATCAGCTCACCCAACAGAATGCTTTCAGATGAGCACAGTTATGCTACTCTTATCGTTGGTTTTCCAGATCTCATGGTAGGCAATGTTTTCATTTTGTCTAAATTAGACATGGTTTATATGCCTTGATTTCTAACTAATCAGTTGTGAGGACTAACCTCGTGAGCGGGAAAGGGACGGTGACTGATGAAAGGTTTGCCGAGGGTGGAACACTGGGCAGGATAGTTAAACCTAGTCTGGCAGCACATGGTCATGAAATATCAATGCTATACAGTCAGATTTGTTGTCTCCCATATCATCTGAGACATGTATGGTAACCCTACTGTACCAGCATAGGCCATTGAACAGACTTTGCAGAACAAGGTTTGCCCCTGCCTCTAATGTATTGGCTACATAGTGGTTATTTAGCTGAAAGTAAACTTGATGAGCATTACACTTCAGTAAAAATAACAATCTTGTCCATTTCCATATCTGCTTCTGTCTACAGTGGCAATCAGTCATTGAGTTCCCACTGAAAGGTCCTGAAAATAGTTTTATATTTTCTTAAATTTGTTCCCAATCGGTTCTTATTTTAATACTGCCACCTGGGTGCAGTTCCCATCTCAGTTCATTCCATACCATACCTATATCATCCCCATACAGATGGGCTCCATGATGTGATTGTTCTCCATTTTTCTCTTGGTGTAAATAGTGCTGGTATGAAGAGGAAATGCATCAGCTGCTCTTATCATGGCATTTCCTCTGTCCTGGATATTACTGGACTAGTATAGGGTGGTGAGCGTGCTGTTCTTATGATAGGGAAATGATTCTTTGCTCTACTTCAAAGCTCATACCTGCAAAATAAAACAACAGCAGAGAATTTAGGACCACGTGTTGTCCAGTCTTCTCCAAGGGTAATTAAAAGTAACATAATAAGAAGATGCCTATTGTGATGAATAGAAACAAATGTGTAGAATAAACAGGTAGGGCAGATGTCACAAAATTTTATGCCCCCTGTCGTCTACGCATTTGTGACTTAAAACCGTTTGTGATTCTCAGGCCCATGTGCCAATGCAAGCAGCACAACTGAACTTTGTTCTGATGCAGCTCAGTCTCCAGAGATTGTGGTTTTTGCTACTTGGCCCAGTAACTCTAACATGCTTCATTCTACATGAAGTATCCAAGAAGCCCGGAGTCTGCTTGAACTTTTCAGTTTGTGTCCCTTGTATCTTCTAGATAAAGAGAGCCAGTGAATCCTGAAGCCAGTACTGATGTTTGCTGCCTTTTGAGAAATCAGACCTTTTGTTGTCATTGTTGTTTCAACTTGTGTACCATCCCATAGTGTTTAGAGTACTTTCTGGGCAGTTTACTATATACAGTAATTATGCAAACAACAACTTGCCCCCCCCCATCAAGCTGGGTAAAATGAGTAATTTGCCAACTGTGGAAGGATGGAAGGCTGACCCACCCTTGAGCTGGCTACCTGAACCTGTTGGGATTGAACTCAAGTTGTGAGCGGAGACTTGGCTGCAATGCTGCAGTCAAGTCAGTAATGCAGAAGTTGCTGCAATCTCCCACAGTATCTTATTCGTAACTGAATGTTAGTCATGCCTGTCTCCATTATCCAGAATTCACATGACAATGTGGACTGTTCAGAACCTGTTTCTCCTTTTCCCCAGCCTCTAACTTCATCCTTGTACTTGAACGAGTGTGTTCACTCCAAGAAAAGTGGTCGCTGTCCATTTATAAAATGCCTTTGGTGTTCTCTTCAACGCCAATAGAAAGACAGGTGTAGTGTCACTGCCATGTGTAACAACAACCATTCTGTCGGAGTCGAGAAGAGTTAAGGTGCAGATGCTGACTTTAGAACCTGAATGTTTCAGTTAGTGTTTAAATTGTGTCAAAACTCATCTTCAGCACATTTTAACAGAAGATTTATGGTGGTTTTGTATGTGGCTCAGCCATTTATCTTGTTATTCTCGCAGTCCCCCAATGAAGTTTACAGCTGGAAGAGAGGCTCCACCTTGGGGAACAGGCAGCCCTCACCTTCTGATCCATTTTATTATGGAAAGCATAACAAAGCTGGAGTGGCAAAGCAAACCAACTGTGTGACTCTTACGTCTGCTAATCAGGTGATCAGAGTTTTAGCCCCTGGAGATGTGCCTTTGAAAGAACTTTATCCCAAAGGTAGCACAACTTCATTTGTTTTTCATGCTTTATATTTCATTACCCTGTTTCCCTGAAAATAAGCCCTAGTATGATTTTTCAGGATGCTCGTAATATAAGCCGTACCCCAAAAATAAGCCCCAGTTAAGTGAAACCCCGCCCTCCACCATTGTGCGGCCACCAGAAAAAGATGACATGACTGTATTTGAATAAATGTAGATTGTTATACATGGAAAAAAATAAAATATCCCCTGAAAATAAGCCCCACTGCATTTTTGGAGCAAAAATTAATATAAGACCCTGTCTTATTTTGGGGGAAACACGGTATACAATATGTGAGAGAAATCACAATGTTTCTCATGTGTCACATTGGTGGAATTACTTAGGCACTTTTGAAATCTAGGCTTCTACATTCTTGAACACATTTGTTTGGAAGTAGATTCTGCTTGAGCATAGTGGTACTTCCTTTCAATTAGACATGAGCGGGTTTAGGTTGCAATATTCCTTGCTGGAAGAGATCTGAAGTGTGAGAATTCTTTGAAAAGTAATAAATGCCACACTAGACAGGTAAAATATGAAGACACAGCATTTGGTTTCCACTGAAATATCCAAAGTTACATAGCATGCTGTCATTCTGTAGGAATATGAAATTAAGTTGGTAAGAATGTTGCTTTTTTAAGACAGTCATCTAAACCTTATTGTTGTGAAGCTATCCTTGAAGTTTGTAGTGATGCCCGCTGAAGCGTTTAAAATAGAGATCGGCACAAACCTAACAACGAAACAGGGAGTTCATTGAAAATCACTAATTTGTTGCTTCAGGTTGGTTCAGTTTCATCCAAACCAGAGAACGCAGACTAACTTGAACTGCAAAAATTTTGAGCAATTTCCTGAACTTTCTAGTTTGTTGTGTACCCACCCCTTCCCTACCTTGTCCTGCAGCTGCTGTCGCCACTGCCACCGTCATTTTTTAAGCCTACCATCTCTGCACATGTGCCTGTCTATGGATGCAGGTGCATGTTCAGAGGAAGCCAGTCAGGAGCCGGTTGGACTAATTCCCCAAAAAAAGAAGAAAAAGCCCAGCTGCCTCAGATCAGAGAATAACTGGGCTGTATGGAAAAAAGAGGGGGGGGGCATGAACCAACAAACTGATTTGTGGTTTATCAGGGAAATTTTTTGAATATTCATGGTTTGTGGTTCGTTAACTTTGATGAACCACAAACGGAGACAAACCACCATTTTGCTGATCCGTGCCCATCTCTACTTTAAAATCAGAAGGGTGGCTGGAAATTTCCACTGTTTTTGTTGTTGTTGGAGCTTTTTAATGGCTAGCAGAATCAGAACCATATTACCAGCTGTTCATGGCATGGCAATGTAATAGCTGAACATAAGCTTGACTGAATATTGCTATGCTGGCTACAGAAGGTTCAGGTCTATCCCTTTTAGGTTTATCAAGTTTTCCATAATTTCTGCATGGTTCAAATGTATGTCATG